TGGCCTCATTTCCGCGCTTCCGCTCGTTTCGACTCGTGCTCCCGCTGCAGCGCTGGCGTCATTTCCCGTGCCATGCCACGGCATGCCATGCAATGCTAGGTTGATACTACGCTTTGCGGTGCTCTTCTACGCCATGCCACGCCGTGCTCTACAATGCATCACGTACCCTTTCGCCCTTTCGGGATCATTGCCCTGCTCGACATCCGACTGTGCGAGTAGAGAGGGGATCTGCGCCATGGTAAGGGATGGGAGGGAGGGGTAGGATGTCAGATATACGGGAGCGCACCTATCTTGGCCCTATCCCCTCTCCTGCCTCCTCCCTCCCTTTTTTTTTTTTTTTTTTTTTTTTTTTTTTTTTTCTCTCTCTCTCTCTCTCTTCCCCCTCTCCCTTCTCTCTTTGCGTTTTCCTTTTTCCTTCGTCCCTTCGCCTCCCTTCCATCCACTCTCCCTCGTTCTCCGCTTCCTTTTTTTGCAGGGCCCACACCAATTCCAATGGCGGGCACATGTACGCCCACGAAGGATTGTCCGCCCGTTCAGGTTTGCCCGCCTGTTTAAGCCCGCCGTCCCCCCGCAAAGAGAAATAATCCCCCCCACGGGGGTGTAATCGAAGACAAAAAGGGCGGGTATCGAGGGTGTGAGGAACTCGTTTTGAATAACACACGGGCACGTCAGAGCGAACAGTCTTATAATGATTGTCGTTGTCGGTGTTGTTAAATTCTTTCAGCTGAAGACTAATTATGGTTGTTGCCCCTCTTATGACCGTTGTACTTTTCCAATTGAAGTGCTTCCCCTGGGGCTCGCACCTTTTGTGTGTGTATGTCTGTATGTCTGTCTGTCTGTATGTATGTATGTATGTATGTATGTATATATATATATACATATATATATATATATACAAGATAAAAAGGAAGTCACGTGGCGCGAGCTGTGTTATTGGTTCCCGGCTTACAGCAACAGCAACAACGGCTCCCGCCGGATACTTCCTCACAGTGTATCGCCAAATTGTGCCCTCGCGCGGGGATTCGTCACAATTTGTATACGAATCGCGCTCTCGCGAGGGACTTCCTCGCGGTTTATTCAAACGATGCGCGCTCGGCGCTCAGGAATCACGCTCTCGCTTTGGCTTTTCTCACGATTTACTGGGGAATCGCGCTATCGTTCGAGACTTCCGCGCGATTCATGCAGGACCCACGCTTCAGCAACCCGCCTGCTCGACCTGGTCGTCTGGGCCCGCCTTCCCGACCTGCCCGCTATGGGTCTGCCCGCCCGATCTGCCCGTCTGGTTCTAGCGCTTGTTTTCTGCTCCTTGCCCCCCTCCCGCTAGTTTCTCTCGTGGTCTATCCTTCTCCCTCCCCCTTCCACCCGTCTTCCCTTCCCTTGACATAAGTGTACGTGGCATGTAAGGAAGGTATGCCCCCAAGGTGGTACGATCGAAGACGACGAGGGCGGGTACCGAGGGTTTGGGATATACGTATTGATTGGCGCGTGAGCAGATCGGGGCGAACAGTCTTAACCATATTGTTGTTGTGGTTGCTGCTGCTGCTGCTGCTGCTGCTGTTGTTGATGTTGAACATTATTACTTCTAAAGAATAATTATTGTTGGGACCCCTGGTGCATGGCCCCCCCGCCGCGCCTAGGCCGCAGCCACATTTTCATCATTTTCGTGAGGAAGTCTCAGGCAAAACGGGTTGGTCCGGATCCGGTTGTTTTGTTACGGCCCGCTTTCCCTTGCAAGAAATAAGCTAAAGTGGACATTTCTTGTTCTAACATAACCAAACTTCAAGAATCCCTTGCAAAAAATAAGGTAAAGTGGACATTCGCGCGCGCAAGACGAAATCCTTCCAAAACCTTAGTGTTCGCAGCGATTTTAACATAAAAACATCAAAAAACCAATGGTTTTTCAAAAAAAATTGTCAAAATCTCATCCCGCGCGCTCTTGCGGATTCGTAGGAAACCCAACACTTTTTAAACATTTCTGTCAAACGGGCTTTTGCGAGCAACTTTTTCGAACTTCTGCAACAACGGTTGCGCACCTGCCAGGGCCATCATCCCTGTCAAATAATACCATGCGGGACACATTCGTTTTTTCTTCGCGCGCGCACGCCGTCGTCGTCGGCCGCGGGGCCCTGAATAGTAGCCACGGTCGTCCGCATGCCACGAAGTGAAGTGTCCGAACGTCATAGGGCGGGAAGCTGGGTGTGGGTGGTGGCGAAGAGTCGTTTGGAAATTTGGTAGAGCTTGAACCGGCCCCCCCACAAAGTGGGGGTATTGCCCGCCTCCTATGAAAACCCTGGCACTGGTGAGAACGGAGTGTCCCCACGTGCTAGTAATTGTTGTTGTTGTTGTTGTTGTTGTTGTTGTTGTTGTTGTTGTTGTTGTTGTGGTTGTGGTTGTGGTTGTTGTTGTTGTGGGTATTTTCATGGGGCCCCAGGCTTTCGGCGACCATTTCTCTTGGTCCACTTTCTGAGGACCATGCTTCGACTGTGCGTATGACGTGGCCCGCAGGCCTGGATCAGAGCTGGACGCACACATGTGGCCGGATGCTCCTCCAGCGCGCGGCCCCCCCCATGGCCAAGCACGGTGATCTTCCAGTATATCCTGCCAGCATGTTGCTTCCGCGTGTTCCGCGCGTGAATCCAGCACTTGGTTTTGCCAGCTTCCTGGTTGAGGGTGGAGGGAGTGGAGAGCAGAGCTGAAGAGAGGCCAGCGAGCGCAGCACTGGCGGGGGCTGCCGCAGAACTTTTCGAGTCGTTGCAGGAAAGGCCTCGTTTTTTTTCTCCCTCCCCCCAACAGCCCGCAAGTTCAATAACGTTTACCACTGATGGTTAAAGTGTCTCTTCCGTGCGAGGTGAAACAGAGGACCTGGTATCTAAACTTCCCGTGGCAATTAGAATGTCAAGACAAAGTATCCCCGCTGATGGGATAAGCGCTGTCCCATGCAGGAGGGCCTCCAGCAACCCGAATAAACAGCAACATGCTCAAATGATCCAGCTGTCCTGGATGGCGGGGCCGCCATTCAAGAGCTCGTTGGCTAGAGCATCTGCTAGGGCATTGTATCCACGGTGTGTGTCGAACGTGGACGTAACCGTCTCTGTCAGCCAGCCTCTGAGTGAGGCGCACCGCGCGAGTGTGTGAAGAGGGATCAACACGCCATCGCGGCACCGCCATTCAAAGCTACACTGCCTAGCAACAATGAATGATGGGCTTGTTTTCCACCACCACCATAGTTGGAGAGGGAAGGGCTCCTCCTCCTCCTCCTCCTCCTTCACCTCCACGTCCTCCTTCTCCTCCTCCTCATCCTCCTCCTCCTTCCCTCCTCCAACTTATGGTGGTGGTGGTGGAAAACAGGCCCATCAATAAAATTCGCCGGCCCAACGGGCCAGGGCGTGCTAAGATCTCCGGTAACTGGTTAACAGTATTAACAGTATTTCTAGTTCGCGCGCGCGGGGCGGCCCCTGGGGGTCCCCCGGCGAAAAGTACCCCGACCAACGCCCGGTCGCCGCCCGGTCGCCGCCCGACCGCCGCCCGACCGCCGCCCGACCAAGTCTACTCAGAGATGGTTTTCCTTCTGGGTGCGGCCTCTCAGGCTCCCCAGAGCGCGCTCAGAGTGCCCCAAGAGGCCCCCAAGACTGCCCAAGAGGCCCCCGAGACGCCCAAAGAGCGCTCGAAGACGCCGAAGATGACCCCAAGACGGCCCAAAAGGCCCCCAAGACAGCCCAAGAGGCCTCCAAGACGCCCCAAGAGCCTTCCAAGAGGCCTCCGAAGAGAGCCCCAAGAGGCCAAAATCGTTGATTTTCATTGGTTTTTTCGATGTTTTTTGTGTTCTGGCTTTTTCGGCTTCCGGACGCTCCAAGACGGCCCAAGAGGCCCCCAAGACCGCTCCAAGACGGCCCACGAAGCTCCCAAGACGGCGCCGAAACGACCCAAGAGAGCCCTCAAGACGGCCCAAGTGCCGCCCAAGACGGACCAAGAGGCCCCAAGACGGGCCCAAGAGGGACTCAGGAGGGATACCGAGAACTCAAAAATGGAGCCCTCCGTCCCAGAAGGCGCCCAGGAGGTCCCAAAGAGGCCCCAAGAGGCCTCCAAGAGGCCCCAAGATGTCGCCAAGAGGCCCCAGGAGACTCCCAGGAGGCCCAAAAGAAGCCCCAGAAGGCTTCAAACATGTCTCCCAGGCGCCCCCGAACGGCCTCTCAACAGACCCCAAGAGGCCCCCCAAAGAAGCATCTTGACGACGACTCTATTTCGCCCCATCGAGAGACGACCCCCAGGGAACTGCTTCACCATCAAAACTCCCCACGCAACGCGTCCGAACGACACCCGCCCCCAAGAGCGCAACATGGGCAACGAACACACAGACAAAAACCAGCGATGCCATATCACGGGCCGGCGGAATGAGCGAAGCGATTCAATAATCAACCTCGCAGACGACCTCGTGCATCTGCCGTCCGAGGGCGTCTTGAGGGCTCCGCATCGAGCCCTCGTGCTCAGACTCGTTGTTCGAACACGTTGGAAGCTGGCGGCTCACTCGCCCGTCGACCTGTCCGCCGCGCATCCGGACGGCCGCGCAGCTGCAGGCGACCTCGCCTCCTCCATTTCCCTGTCCCCGCGCGGCGCCATCCGAGCGGTACAGGAGAGCTTCTGGAGCAGCTGCTGCAGGCACTGCGTCAGCAGCTCGGCGGGCTCGACGGTCGCGATGGGACTGTGTCAGAGCAGACGCCGGCATCCAGGGGTGCTCTACAAGAGAACACAGGTGGCGTCTACACTCGACGCTGCTGCCGTAGAACGTCCGCCCATCCCGCAGCACGCGCCATGTTTTCCCCACTGCGAACAGAAGCGCAGCCACTGTCTGCAGCCGCGCGCCATCGCTTTGGAGTCATCGTGAATTCGACATCCTCACCTCGGCGGAAGGCTAGCGAAAGGCGGCGGACCCCAAACGGCGGTGGCTCCGCCAGCGCAATGCAGGCAGAAACCAGCAGAAGTTACAATTGGCTCTCCAAGAGATGAGAACTTTTTTGGAGCCAGGGTGTCTGGAACGAGCCGCGCTCTGGCCCTTCGCGCCTGGCTGCTGCTGTCCGCTGGCTGCTCATCGTCGAACTCTTCGGCGTCTGAGCGTCCCTCCCTCCTGTCGGCCTTGCACGCCGGCCCACTCGCCAGTCAGTGCCCCTACCCAGCTGCTCGCTGGACCGGACTTCGCCGCCCCGCCGCCGACGAACGAAGCAGGCTGGCAGGGAGCCGCTCCGCCCTGCAGCGGGCCCGCATGCGCAGGCGCGCCCGCTCGGCGTGCGCAAGTCCGTCAGCGAGCCAGGCCGGCGGACCGGCCCGGCGCTGGCGCCGGTGGCGTCGGGCGACCCCGGCGGCGGCGGGAGCGGCGCGGGCGACGTGTGGGCCGAGCTCGGGAGGCCCTGCCGGGCGGTCGTCGGCCTTGCCTTTGTCGTCGCCGCCGCCGTCTTCGAAGCCTTCGTCGCAGGCCTGGAGGTTGACACCAACACCAATGTCGGCGGTGTGCCTTCCCCGAGGGCAGGATAGTTTGATCTCGGTGATGGTGGCAACATTCTGGCTTTTGAGGTGGCCGAAATATTGTCACTGATATTGAGATTTGGGATAATCTTCCCCCTGTGGAGGCAACCCCCTGTGTTGGTGTTCGTGCCTCCGAAGCTTCCGAAGCCTCTGCAGCCTCCGAAGCCTCCGAAGCCTCCGAAGCCCCCAGGCCTCCATCTTCAGAGCCTCCGAAGCCTCCGCAGCCTCGGAGCTGCGGGCCACAAGCGCCCCAAGGCGTCGAGCCGCGAAGCCTCGAGCCTGGACCCCCGCCGCGGGCGCTGCCGCCGCAGCCGCCGCCGCCGCCGCCGTCTGCGTCGACGCCGCCGCCGACGTCAACGTCGTCGCCTCCGTCGACGTCGTCGTCCTCGCCGCCGTCGGCGCCGTCGGAGCCGTCGAGCGAGGCTCCGAGGCTCCCGCGGGGCGCCTGGAGTTCCGACCCCTTGCCCCAGAGCTGCCTTCTTGAGCCGAGCCGTGCCTGGGGCCCCACGGAGCGGCCCCCGGAGCAGGCCGCGGTGCACCCTAAGAGCCGCCGCCTCGGTCTCTGCAGGGCGGTGGCCGTCTGGGAGTCCTGGGCCCTGCGCCCCCCGACCCGTCCGACGGAGTCTGCGGTTCGGTTCTCGCGCCGCGTCGACGGGCGGCGACCCGTCCGACGGCGCTCGGCGTGAGGTGCCGCCAGCGACCTGGACGTACGTGGGGCACGTCCCTCCACAGGAGGGACATTGAAGCATTGGTCAAAACATAGTCCGGGGAGGATCCATTGTACTATTTGTGACCATGTTGCGGCATCTTCTGGCTACTCCCGGATTTTTCGTCTACAGCCCCCCTGCAGGAGGACATGCCCGACCTGAACCTAGAACTGGTCGAGGTGGAATGATCGTACGCTTCGGACACGGCCAGTCGCTAAAGGTCGAACGATCCCCCGCGGTGTCAGGAACCGGTGCCGGCGTCGAGACGACACGACGGCGAGGCTGGCAGGTTGCACTCGGCGGAGAGTGGCAGACCTCCTCCTCCTTCTGTTCCCATTCCTCTGCCTCCTCCTCGGCCTCCTCCTCCTCTGCTTCTTCGTCGCCTCCTTCTGTTCCTAGTCCTCTGCCTCCTCCTCGGCCTCCTCCTCCTCTGCTTCTTCGTCGTCTCCTTCTGTTCCTAGTCCTCTTCCTCCTCCTCGGCCTCCTCCTCCTCTGCCTCCTCGTCGTCGTCGTCCTCCTCCTCCTCCTCTTCCGTGCGAATTTTGGCCGCCGGGCCAAAACCTGGCGCTGCGGCCCCCGACCCTGCTCGGCGAGTGGGCCCCGGGGGCGGCGACGTCGGCCGCGGCGAAGCGGCGTCGTCGTCGCCTCATCGACGTCGTCGTCCTCGACGTCGGCGCCGTCGGTGCCGTCGGCGCCGGCGTCTTCGGCGTCGTCGTTTCTCGCCGCCGTCGTTCTCGCTGCCGTCGTCGCCGTCGGCGCCAGCGCTGGCGTCGTCGTCGTCGTCGTCGTGGTTGTGGTGGTGGTGGTAGTCGTCGTGTTCGTCGTGTTCGTCGTCGTCGTCGTCGTCGTCGTTGTCGGCGTCGTCGTCGTCGTGTTCGTCGTCGTCGTGGTCGTGGTCGTGGTCGTGGTCGTGGTCGTGGTCGTGGTCGTGGTCGTGGTCGTGGTCGTCGTCATCGTCGTCGTCGGCGTCGTCGTCGTCGTCGTCGTCGTGTTCTTCGGCGCCGTCGTCGCCGTCGTCGACGTCTTGGTCGCCTTCGTCGTCGTCGTCGTCGTGGTCGTCGTCGTGGTAGTGTTCGTCGTCCTTGTCGTCGTGTTCGTCGTCGTCGTCGTCGTCATCGTCGTCGCTGTCGTCGTCGTCGTCGTCGTCGTCGTCGTCGTCGTCGTCGTGGTGGTCGTGGTCGTGTTCGTCGTCCTTGTCGTCGTGTTCGTCGTCGTCGTCGTCGTCATCGTCGTCGCTGTCGTCGTCGTCGTCGTCGTCGTCGTCGTCGTCGTCGTCGTCGTCGTCTCGAGGCTCCGAGGACTGGCGGCGACGACGTCGACGCCGACGGTGACGGCTGCGTCGTTCTGTCGGCGGCGGCGGCGGTGAGGCTGCGGGAGCAGCTCCGCCGCGAGCAGCGGCGCGCCGCCTTCGCGGAGGAGGCGCTGGCCGCTGCGGCTGGTGCCGCCGACGGCCCCCGGCAGTCCCCCGGCGCCGTGCGCTCGCAGAAGGACGCCGCCGCCGCCGTCTCGAGGAGGCCAGGGCGACGGTGATGAGGACCCAGATCCCCGGAGGTGTTTTTTCCAGTCCCGGCCTTTTCCTCGTTTTCGGCCCTTGGGGCCTGTCATCGGGCCCGGCCGCGGATCGAAACAGTCACACTGGCGGATCGCAGGGTCTCGACGAGGCCAGAATGATGGTGACCGGCGGCGGGCCCAGGGCACAGGCAGAGGGGGCGGGCCTTCTCTTCAAGGAGGCGCAACCATGGACTGAGGCGCGCGGATTAGCGACGGGTCCCGCTTCTGCGCGAGCTCGGAATCAGTCGGTGTTGGCTCCAGATCCACTAATCTGATCTCTAATCCACTCCTCCTCCTCCTCCTCCTCCTCCTCCTCCCCCTCCTCCTCCTCCTCCTCCTCCTCCTCCTCCTCCTCCTCCTCCTACATCAGCGTGCGCCGGATTCTCAGGAGTCTCAGAAGGCCTTTCCGTAGCCATTGTGGCGCGAGTGTTCCTCCTGGCTCCGCGTGGCGCCTGATTGCGCTCGCCTCAACTGGAGGCCACTGGTGTTAAGTCGGGCCTGGCTCTGTACAGGAGGAATATTCAAGAATAGTCCACAAGTAGTCTGGGGACGATTTTTCGATTAGTTTTGGCAATCTTTAATTTTTTTTTATTGTTCGTCCAAAATCCGCCCGTAGAGGTACATGCCCGACCTAACACTGGTGCAAGCTCACCACCACAATGGTCGAGCTCGAGGTTGCTGTGCCCGCGCCGCCGCGAACCCCCCACCCCCGGACTCCTTCTCCCGAGCGCGGAGACTCCCAGAAGCTCGCACCCAGATGTCGCAGCAGGAACAAGATCCATGCCGACAGCGCCTCTGAAGCCAGGGTCGCAGCCCTGGATCCGCTCGTCGACGCGGTGCGCTCGGCCGTGCGCGCGGAGCTGCAGGGCTGCCTCGGCGGGCCCCTGCGAGAGGTGGTGCGGACGGAGCTTGCTGCGGCCCTGCAAGGCTGGCGCAGCCATTCCGACGGAGAGGCGGCCCTTGGACAAGCGTCGCCCAGCACGGTGGGAGGCCCTCCCGCTGGCGGCGGCGGATGTGGTTCTGTTGCGCCACCCGCCGGGGGAGGGGCAGAGCTCCCCACGGCGGAGAGCCGAGTTTCCATCTTGACGCAGACATCAGTTTCAGACTCGGCCGCTCAGGGGTCCCCTGCAGACGCCCTAGCTCGTGCGGAAGGTACGGACTTCCTGAAGAGAGCTACCCTCCTGCGTCGGATCGAGAGCTCGTACAGTCTCCGTACCGCGAGTGACGGAGGAGATAATGGCTTGCTCTCAAAGTTCAGCCAAAGGTCGAGAACACTGTCGGAGAGCCTGCGCCGCCGCCACTCGTGGTGGCTGGATGAGGAGCCGCCGCGCTCGGGGCGGCTCGCCAGCTACGTGGATGGCCCGGGCTTCAAGCTGTTCCTCGGTGCTGTGGTGCTCGTCAACCTCGGGTTCATGGTCCAAGACGCTGATGTTAGGATCAGAAGCCCAGCCGATCACAGCATGCTGGCCGCCGATGTGGTGTTCTTGGTCATCTACTTTCTTGAGGTAGTTCTCAAGCTCGCCGTGCACGGGGTCTGGTTTTTCATTGGAGCCGATTGGAAGGTCAATCTGCTTGACATGACGGTGGTCATCTCCGATTGTGCCACTGTGGTGTTGGGTACTACGCTTAAGCTACGCTTTCTTAAGCTCGCAAAGGTGGTTAAGGTATTCGAGCTGATGTACCACTTGAAATACCTACAAGCCTTCCTTGTTTGCATCCAGGGTTCATTTTCGAGCTTCATGTGGAGTGTGGTGATGCTTTTCTCAGTATACGGGGTATTCGCACTTTTATTTATGCAGGTCATCACTAGTCACATCGACGCAAGAGGAGAAACTCTAGATGATACCGCTTTTGGTGAGTATTTCGGTTCGGTCGGACATTCAATCACGACGCTTTTCATGGTAACAACGGGTGGCGATGACTGGGTCTCTGCGTACGAAGTGATTGAGGAAACAGGCCCGGTTGGGCGCTTCTTGTTCTTGGCATTCATTGCGTTTGTGAATCTGAATTTGCTGAACATCATCCTTGGCATATTTGTAGACTCGGCGATGAAGGTTCTCTCACCAGATTCAGAGACGCTTGCCCACGAATACGTTCGCCGGGATCACGAGTATGCCGCGAAGCTCACGAACCTCTGCAGGGCCGTGGACACCGACTGCTCGGGGAGGCTGACACAGGAGCAGTTCAAGCTGGGCTTGAACAAGAAGCGTATCCCACATTTGCTCGTTATGCTAGGGCTGAAGAAGCACCACATCCTAGAGTTTTTCGAGTCGCTGGCCAAGGCATCCGACCACGACGGGCAGGTTGATATCGACACCTTTGTGGAAGGGTGCATGCTGTTCAAGGGGGCCAGCACCAATTTCGATTTGCATAAGTTGCGTGTGGAGTCCAAACTCGCCCACGACAAGATCATCCAGCTGCTACAGGACATCACTGTGACAGGTGGGCGCCAGCATAGCAGCAGTTCCGTCGGCCCGCGGGGAGTCTCCTTGAATTACCCGTAGATGAGCTTGTCAGATGTAGTATTTGTCTGAAAGAAGCTAGCACTGTAGAGGGTTATGCAACGCTTTTTAACTCGAGGTGAATGCCCCCCCGCCCAATTTCGGAGCTGGGCACATTGATCCGATGGGGTTCCGCGGGCCTCTCCGATTGCATGCATGCGGCCCGTCCTTCGTCGTTTTCCTTGGCAAGCACCTCAGGGTACCTTCGGCGACCAATGCGCTAATGCGCTAGTGTCCCTACCGCCCGTTATCATCGAGCGGTGCTGTCATTAGTCGCCATTGGCAGTGAGAGGACTGGTTTGTTCTTCAGCAGTGGTGCGGGCTCAATGAGCCGACAGCTGTCATTGCTGATAGCACGAGGCAGGCCTCTAATTGCACACTTGTAGCGCACTCTATACCCAGTGGTTGTTTCACCTCTACCCGCTCGACTCTGTAAGTTGACGCAGATATGCACCCCTTCGATGCGCCACATGAGACAAAAGATCAAGAAGTCTCAGAAGGCCTCTCAGCCATGCGGCGCAACAAAAGTCACGCCAGGCTCGCAAGGTCAGGAGGAGGGGAGATGGAGGAGGGAGGGGCAGGAGGACGGGGAGGAGGAGGAGGAGGAGGAGGAGGAGGAGGAGGAGGAGGAGGAGGAGGAGGAGGAGGACGAGGAGAAGGGGTGAGACCACGGCCATGTGCACCTTAGTGTGTGACAAGGGATCGTGACCGTCTGGACCAGACATGTAGTTGGCACTGGCGAGAGCACGATTCTCGAATACGCTGTGAGGACGTCCCGGGCGACGCGCCCCTCGTGGGATATCCCCTCAACAGAAGAGAGAGATCATCCAGCGAAACGTTATTCGGCGCGGGCAGACTCGGAGCCCTCCTCCCTCCTCCCTCCTCCCTCCTCCCTCCTCCCTCCTCCCCCCTTCGGACACTTGCGACGTCGGATGGGAGGGAGCATCTGGCGCGCCCAGACTGGCGCGGGCTGCCTCCGGCGGCCTTCTGGCGGCCCCCCGACGCCCTCTGTGGGCGCCCTGTCGGCGCCCCTCCGGCACGCAAGCTGCGGCGCTGCGGCCGGCTCGGTCGGCGCGGCCCTTGGCGCAGGGAGGAGGCGGAGAGAGCCCCAGCGCTTGAGGGCCTGGAGATCCTGGAGTCGTATTTTTCTAAGTTTCGCTAGAGGGTTCTCACTCCTGTTGGTAGGCGAGGACCGCTGAGGACTCCCACAGGGGGCACGGGGAGTTCGAGACCGCCTGGTCGGGCAGCCGATTCGCCTGAGGCTGCCTCGCGTTCTACTCGGGAGTCGTGGTCTCGCCTCAATGCTGACCATATTTTTGGTCCGAACGGCCACAATCATTTTCACAAAGAACGTTGAGGTGCACATGACCGTGCGTTTCCCAGGAATCCCCAGGGATCGGAGGTTAGGACGTGATATCGGGGTGGAACGGTCGTGCGTGCGGGCGATGCGAAGCTGCGTGGGCGGGCGACAGGAATACACCTTCCTTTAGCTAGGGCGCCGCCGGGCCAAAAGACCGCCCCCCCCCCAGGTTGTCTGGCGTTGGCCGGGTGTGTCCCGCCGTGGTGTCCTGATGTTCCGATGGTGTCTTGGTGGTGTCCCGCTGGTGTCCAGCTGGTGTCCCGATGGTGTCCCGATGGTGTCCCGATGGTGTCCCGTTGGTGTCCCGATGGTGTCCCGTGGTGTCCCGTAGTGTCCCGCGGTGTCCCGATGGCGTTCCGATGGTGTTTTGGTGGTGTCCCGATGGTGTCCCGAGAATGTCCCGATGGTGTCCCCGTGGTGTCTCGATGATGTCACAGTGGTGTCCCGATTGGTGTCCTGATTTTTGTCCCGATGGTGTCCCAGTGGTGTTTCAATGGTGTCCCGATGGTGTCCCGACGTTGTCCCGATGGTGTCCCGCTGGTTTCCCGACGGTGTCCCGGTGGTGTCCCGATTGATGTCCCGATTTGTGTCCATGGTGTCTCGATGGTGTCCCGATGGTACTGCGTTCGGAGAAAATCTCGCGGGCGCATCACCAGCATCGTCACCATCACAATCATCGCGGTTGTCATCAGTTGGTCCTCCCCCCCCCACAGCTCCTTTATCACCCGGAGGGTGGTCGTAGAGGTACATCTAGGAGTGCGTGTTTTCGCTCGCCGACCTCAGAAGGAGACGGGCCTTCTCAGAAGCTCTCGGACCTTCTGAGAAGCCTTATGCGTCTTCGGCAAAAAGAAGTTTGGGCGCAGAACGTCTCGTAGGAAGCCAGTCCCTCTACAGGGGGATATTCGAAAATAGTTTAAAACATACTCAGGGGAGTATTTTTTGCATATTTGTTTGACATGTTTGGAGCACTGTTCGAGTATTTTTAATCTTTCGTCGAACATCCCCCTGTAGGGGGACACACCCGACTGAAAGCCAGAGGCCATCGGAGCCTTCAAAGAAGGCCCGCCCCCTCTCCCTCTCCCAGCGGGCTCGTCGCCGAGTTGTCCGTCTTCGGTCTCTGGGGGCCCTCACGGGGCCCAGGGCCGTCACAGAGCGGCTCGAGCTGGAGACCCTTGCGGAGGGATCCAGGCCTTCACGCGGGGGGCCACGCTGAAGGGGCAAAGCGACGACGAGGGAGGGAGGAGGAGGGGGCGGAGGAGGAGAAGGATGAGGATGAGGATGAGGATGCGGGTGAGGATGAGGATAAGGATGAGGATGATGACGATGGTGATGGTGATGACGATGCTGCTGCTGCTGCTGCTGATGATGATGATGATGATGATGATGATGATGATGCTGATGATGATGATGAGTATGACGCTGATTATGCTGATGATGATGATGCTGATGCTGATGCTGATGCTGCTGCTGCTGCTGCTGCTGATGATGATGATGATGTGATGATGATGATGATGATGATGATGATGATGCTGACGCTGATGATGATGATGCTGTTGAGATGATGAGGATGATGATGAGGAGGGGGAAGATGAGGAGGAGGACCGGTGTAAACCTCAGATGAATCAACGATGTTGCATTCAATTCTCCCTCCAAGTTCCCTCTTCACATGTCCCTGCAATAATATATTTTCATTGTGGGAAGCGCCCCATTGGAAGACAACCGTCTGAGAATCCTCAGCCGCGACGAAACACAATTCCTGGGACTTCGATGCCGCGAATCAGCGTGACTGTTGTGTTCTGACAGTCCTAAACCGTGCCCGAGTATCATTCCCGGGACTTCAAGACAGCGAATCCACATGATTGTTAGGTCCTCACAGTCTCTCAATCTCGTCAGAACGCCACTCCTGGGACTTCCACCACAAGAATCCTTGACACTGTCGTGATCTCTTAAGACGAATGTGAGCGGCGCTAGGGCGAGAGTCACATGTTGAAGAGGAACCGCCCTCCATCCTCGAAGCTCTTGCGAACTTTTAGGTCGAAGTGATCGGCGCTGAGGCGAGAGCCACGTTGTGGAATCGGACGGTCATCCATCCGGGTAGCTGTTGCAAGTTCTCAGCGTCCGCAGTCTTTGGCTCAAGGTGTTTTGGCTCAAGACGCTCTGGCTCGAGCCCAGAGCAGCAGGGCGCTCTCGCGGCGGCCGCGGCGGCCGCTGTGTCCTGGCGGGGTCACCACTGGCGTGCCGAGGATCCGCTGCGGCGGCTGATCCCTGGTGGGAGGCGGCTGCCGCGGCAGCTCACTGGCGGGAGAGCGGCGGCCGCGGCGGGGAGCTGCCGCAGGACGCTGCTTGGTGAAGGTGGCACGGGCCTGGTGGGCAGGCGGCGCTTGTCGAGTCGCCAGTTGCTCGCCGTCGCCGCCAGCCCACCGCGGCGGCCCACAGTTACAGTGGCGACCGTTCCTTCGGCGATCGCCGCCAGGGGCCTGAGGTGCTCCATTGGCTGGGGCTGGCGCTGCCCTCGGCCACCAGCGCCGCCGGCGGCCTGCCGGCCGGCGCCGCCGCCGCGGCCGCTGCTGGCGCAGCCGCCTCCGCCGCTGCCGAGGCCTTCGTTGGCGGCCGTGGCTGCCCCGCGGCGGGCCGCGTGCCCGTGTTGGCGACGACGAGCCACATCACTTCAGAGACCATTGGCATGCTTTCAGGCCAGCTGTCGCCGTCCGCTGGCTGGAAGATCCCGGACAATCCGGACGACCCGGGTGCGACTTCGAGGTTCCTGCGGCGGGCTGGGCGCAGATCGTGGCGTGCGGCATCTCCAGCAAGCTGCCCCGAGACCAGTCCGCCGGCTCCGCTGCTGCGGCGGGCGACTTCGGCTTCAAGGCGCTGACGTCCAGCGAGGCCGGGGACGCGCAGAGGCAGCGCTGCGAACGCGCCGACGTCCCGAGCTTTTCCTGGCCTCCTGCGCCGCGGGGCGGAGCGACCCGCTGTCCGTTCGCCGGCCAGAGCGCGTCGCTGGGGCCGCCGCCATCTGCCGCGGCGGGCGACTTCGGCTTCAGCGTGCCGACGTCCAGCAACGCCGGGGAGAGGCAAACGAAGTTGGCGACCGAGAGTGCCGGCAGTCGCACGGCCATGATGGCGGACATCGGCGTGCCCTTCCAGGGCGGCTTGGCTGTCTCCGCGCGGGGCGACAGGGTTCCCTCCACGGACTGGGCGCAGATCGTGGCATACCTCGCCCTCGGCGTGTTGCCCCAAGACCAGTCCGCGGGCTACGTTGCCATGGCGGGCGATTTCTGCTTCCAGGAGATAATGACCAGCAGCGCTGCCGAGAAACAGAGGGGGTTGGCGGCCCCGTCGCCGCCGTTCGCCGGATCGCGATTGCGATCGTCGGTATTCTTCAACCATGACAACCTGACCTGCTCCACGTGTGGTGTCCGCGCTCTGTCCCGAGCTCTTCCTGGCCTCCTGCGCCGTCAGGCGGGGAGACGCGCTATCCGCTCGCTGGGCCTAGCGTGTCGCTGGAGTCGTCATGACCTGGTTGGCCCGGCACAGACTTCCGCATCATGAGACGGTCAGTCGTCTACCTGGGGAAGATTCACAGAACACATCAGCAAATATCAGTCGCCTACCTGGAGATGATGCCCCGTCCCTCCCTCCC